TTGTAGTTTTAGTAGAGATGGGGCTTCACCTTGTTGACCAGGATGGTCTCGATCTCTTGACCTCGTGATCCACCCGCCTCGGCCTCCCAAAGTGCTGGGATTATAGGCGTGAGCCACCGCGCCCGGCCCAGGAACACCTCTTGACATTGAGCAGCATATGAAGATAAAGATCCTCAGGCAGTGGCAAGAAGTTTAGGTTTTTCTGGGTTTTTGTTTTTACATTTGCTTATTACTCCAGATAAGACTGTCATTCAGAATGTGTGCAGTCACAGGGTTGGAGCCTGCTGGCTGAATAGAAGTCTCTGCCATTTGTGCTCCCCACAGGAATAACAAATTGAGCAACTATTTAAATAAAAAAAGCACCTCCATAGGAACTAAAAATTAGGTAAGTGATCACAGCACATGGTTTTGACTTCATATCACTGAAAGAGGCACTGAACAACCTAGAAAAGACAGTCTTGAATTGCTGATTCCACCTCTGTGAACCTGTGGCAAGGAGAGAGGCTACATGCTTGGGGCAGGGAGAGCACAGCAGCTGTGGGACTGCCTGAACTCAGTGCTGCCTTGTCATAGCAGAAAGCAAAACAAGGCTGAACTCACCCAGTGCCCACCCATGGAAAAAACATTGAGACTAGCCCCAGCCAGAGGAGGATTGTTATCCCAGTGGTTTTAACTTGAGTTGTGAAACTCTGGGGTCCTTAATACACCTGAAAGTCTGTCTAGGCCATGAGGACCACAACTCTTAGGCAAGTCCAAGTGCTGTGCTGTACTTGGAGCCAGTGTGACTGGGGGCATGTGACCCAGAGAGACAGCAGCTGCGGCAGCTAGGGAGTGCTTGCCCACCCCTCCTCCAACCCTAGACAGTGCAGCTCGCAGCTCTGACAGAGACCTCTTTCTTCCACTTGAGGGGAGGAAAGAGGAAACAGGACTTTGTCTTGCAACTTGGATACTAGCTCAGCCACAGTAGGAGAGGGCACTGGTCAGAGTCATGAGCCTGCCCCCCCATTTCAGGTCCCAGCTTCGGGATAACATCTCTAGACAAGCTCTTGGCCAGATGGGAACCTGCTACCCTAAAGGGAAGGACTCAGTAATGGCAGGATTCATCACTTTCTGATCACTTTCTGATGAAAGACCCTTTGGGCCCAGAAGAATCATCAGTGGTGACCATTTAGTACATGCCATGGGCCTGGAGTGAGACTGGAGAGAGATATTCTCGCTTCAGGTGTGACCAAGCACATTCCCAGCTGTGGTGGCTATAAGGAGAGACTCCCTCTGCTTGACAAATGCTGAGGAAAAAGTAAAGAGTTTTCTTGAGCTTAGATACCAGCTCAGCTACAGTCAGAGGAGTACCAGGTGAGCTGTAGGAGTCCACAATTCAGGCCTTGGCTCTTGGATGGCATCTCTGGACCTACCCTGGTCCAGAGGAGCACCCACAGCCCTGAAGAATGAGTTCCAGGGCAGGCAGCATTCACCACAAGCTGACTGAGAGCCCTTGGGTATTATTAAGTGAACATCCATGGTGACCTGGCGCTAATCCCCATGGGTCTGTGATGATGTTATATGTGGGGACAGACTACTGTGCCTGGGGAAAGGGGAGGGAAAAGCGGGAAGAGATTTGCCTGGTGGATTCAGTGCCAGCTCAGCCATGGTAAAACAGAATACCAGGTAGATGTCTAAGGTTTATGACTCCAGCACAGGCTCCCAGATAGAACCTCTGAACCCATCCAGGGACCAGGGGTGCTTACTGCACTTAAGGGAAGGACAGAGGCCTGGCTGGCATCACTACCTGCTGATTGTAGAGCCCTGGGCCTTTGAGTGACGTTAAGTGGCAGTGTGTACCTGTTACAGTGGGCCTTGGGCAGTCACAGTGCTGTGCCGGCTTCAGACCTAATGCTGTCTGGACAGTCTTAGTGCTGTCCCAGCACAATACAAGCACCCCTGTGGTTGTGGCCACAGGAGTGCTTGTATTGCTCCTCTCCCAGCTCCAGGCAGCCTAGCACAGAGAGACAGACTTCCTTTGTGGGAAAGTAAGGGAAGAAGCGAGTCTCTGTCGGCTAATCCAGAGAATTCCTCCGGGTCTGATCTCAGACCACCAGTGTGGTACCTCCACAAGGCTTCAAAACCAATGACATTCTTCACAGAAATAGAAATAAAAAAATGAACTCTAAAATTTATATGCAACTACAAAAGACTCAATATCCAGAGCTATCCTGAGCAAAAACCAACAAACCTGGAGGAATCACATTATCTGATTTCAAATTATCCTCTACAGCTATAGTAACCAGAACAGCATGGCACTGTGATTAAAAACAGACATGTAGACCAATGGCACAGAATAGAAAACCCAAAAACCAATTCATACATCTTCAGTGAACTCATTTTCTATGAAGGTGCCGAGCACATACAATGGGGAAATAACAGTCTCGTCAATAAGTTATGCTGGGAAAACTGGATATCCATATGCAGAAGAATGAAACTAGACTTCTATTTCTTACCTAATACAAAAGTCAAATCAAAATGGATGAAAGATGTAAATCTCGGTGGGGCTTGGTGGCTCACACTTGTAATCCCAGCACTTTGGGAGGCCAAGATGGGAGGATCACTTTAGGCCAGGAATTCGACAGTAGCATGGGCAATGAAGTGACATTCTGCCTCTGTTTTTAAAAAAAAATAATAAAAAGATTTAAATCGAATACCTCAAATATGAAACTGAAATAAAACGTTGAGAAAACTCTCCAGGATACTGGACTGGGCAAATATTTCTTGCATAATATTTCATCAGCGCAGGCAACCAAAGCAAAAACAAGCAAATTAGGTCACATCAAGTTAAAAAGCTTCTGCACCACAAAGGAAACAATCAACAAAGTGAAGAGACAACCCACAGAATGGGGGAAGATGTTTGAAAACTATCTGACAAGGGATTAATTACCAGAATATTTAAGGAGCTCAAATAACTTCATAGAAAAAAATCGAATCTGATTTTTAAAGTGGGAAAAATATCTTAATAGACATTTCTGAAAAAGAGGATGCATTAGGCAGGCTTGGTGACATGTGCCTGTCAGCTGTTTGGGAGACTTAGGTGTGAAACTTACCTGAGCCTGGGAGATTGACGCTGCAGTAAGCTGTGATTGTGCCACTGCACTCTAACCTGAGTGACAAAGTGAGACCGGTTTCAAAACTCCTTAAGAAAGGTATACCAATGGCTAATACATATATGAAAAGATACTCAACATCAATATCATTGATCTTCAGAGAAATGTGAATCAAATTACAATGAGAGATCATCTCTCACCCCACTTAAAATGGCTTTTATTCTAGAGACAGGCAATAACAAATGCTGGTGAGGATATAGAGAAAAGGTAACCCTTGAACACTGTTAGTGGGAGTATAGTTTAAGTACAACCACTATAGAGAACAGTTTGGAGGTCCTCAGAACCAAAAATAGAGCCACCATATGATCCAGCAATCTGCCTTTTGGGTATAAACCCAAAAGAAAGGAAATCAGTATATTAGAGATACCTGCACTCTCATGTGTGTTGCAGCACTATTCACAACAGCCAAGATTTGGAAGCATTCCAAGTGTTCATCAAGAGATGGGTGGCTAAAGAAAATGCTGCATATACACAGTGGAGCACTATTTGACCATAAAAAAGAATGAGATCCTGTTATTTGCAACAACATGAATGGAAATGTTAAGTGAAATAAGCCAGACAAAGACAAACTTCATGTATTCTCACTTATTTGTGGGACCTATAAATTAAAACAATGTAACTCATGAAGAGCTAGAGCAGGAGAATTGTTAGCAGCAGCTGGTAAAAGTAGCATGGGGGATGAGGAGTAAGGGGTAATGGTTAATAGGTGCACACATTTGGTTAGAAAGAATAAGATCTATTAAGTATTTGATAGCACAACATGGTGACAACAGTCAAGAATTATTTAATTGTACATTTTACAGTAACTAAAAGAGTGTAATTGAATTTGTAGAATTAAAAAAAAAGAACACATGTTTGAGGTACAATGGATTCTTCATTTACCCTGATGTGATTATTACACATTCTAGGCCTGTCTGAAAATATTTTATATACCCTATGAATATATTCAACTGCAGTGTACCCCAAAAGAATTTCAAAGTCATCATTCAGAATTACCACAGTGTATATTTACAACTGAAGTGAGGCTTCTTTTGACTAAGAAGAGACTAGTGACTGTTGGCTGCTATTCAAATGGCTGCTAAATTACCACTTTGCTAATAGTAGAAACTGAGTTGTCATGGTGATTTTGCTAGTAGCCATTTTAGCAAAGAATGTAACAGAAAATTAATTTGAAACAAATAGATGTACTTTGAAAGTTGCAGAAGCTAAAGTGCTGTTAATGACTACTTTCATCAGTGTGTACACTGGTGTCTTTGTGTGTGTGTGTGTGTGAGAAAGAGAGAGAGAGAGAGAGAGATGGAGTTTTGCTGTTGTTGCCTAGGCTCGACTGCAACCTCCATTTCCTGGGTTCAAGTGATTCTCCTGCCTCAGCCTCCCAGGTATCTGGGATTACAGGCATGTGCCACCACACCCAGCTAATTTTGTATTTTTAGTAGAGACGGGGTTTCTCCATGTTGTTTCTCCATGGGTCAGGCTAGTCTTGAACACCCGACCTCAGGTGATCCACCTGCCTTAGCCTCCCAAAGTGCTGGGATTACAGGTGTGAGCCACCGAGCCCAGCTTGTAAACTGGTTTCTTCAAGGGAGCAAAATTTGTAATGATGAACACTTAGCTCCAGTATAATGGCAGTTAAATTGATCTCAGAGCCGGTAGCTAATCTGGTGGGGCTCTAGCTCTAGTTACAAGGTCAGAGAATACACAGGGAAATGTGCAGGTGTCCACAGATGTGAGCTTCAGAAGCAGTGGTGACAGAGGCTGGCTTCAAGACAACCAGTTTTTTTTTTTTTTTTTTTTTTTTTTTTTAAAGGTGGGGTTTCACCAGGATGGCCAGGCTGGTCTTGAACTCCTGGCCTCAGGTGATCCACCCACTTCGGCCTCCCAAAGTGCTAGGATTACAGGTGTGAGCCACCGCGCCTGGCCAGTAGACAACCAGTTTTACGGTGCTATTTGTGAATGCAGAAGCATCAGGAGCTATGGTCTGAACAGGAGCTATGTTGCTGATCTTTGTATATTGAAAAACATTACAACAAAGTGTTTAATGGACATTTTCCTTGTCCCTCTGCTGTTGATTATTTATAATGGTCTCTTTTTGACTGTAAATTAAACCATTTAAAAATAAGTGTCTATCAGATTTTTCTTCAAACTTTTCAACATCTGTTTGTCTTGTTAGAATATATTTTCTTTCAGAAACATCACTAATTGTCAGGGAAATGCAAATTAAAACCACAATGTAATACCACCTTACTCCTGCACGAATGGCCATCATTATAAAATAAAAAAATATACATGTTGGTATGGACTTGGTGAAAAGGAATCACTTACACTGCTGATTAGAATGTAAACTAGTACAAGCACATGGAAAACAGTACTGCTGTTCAATCCAGCAATCTCACACTGGGTATCTACCCAAAGGAAAAGAAGTCATATGAAAAAGACACATACACATGCATGTTGATAGCAGCACAATTTGCAAGTGCAAAAATATGGGACCAGCCTCAATGCCCATGAACTAATGGGTAGATAAAGAAAATGTGGAATATAGACACCATAGAATACTGCTGTGTCATAAAACAGAATGCAATAATGGCCTTGACAGCAACTTGGATGGAGCTGGAGGCCATTATTCTAAGTGAAGTAACTCAGGAATAGAAAACCAAATATCATATGTTCTCACTTTTAGGTGGGAGATAAGCTATGAGAATGCAAAGGCATAAGAATAGTACAATGTCCTCTGGAGACTCTGGGAGGAAGGTTGGGAAGGGGGTGAGGGATAAAAGATTACATATTGGGTAAAGTGTACAGTGCTCAGGTGGTAGGTGCACCAGAAGCTCTGAAATTACCCCTAAAGAAATTATCCATGTAACCAAAAACCACCTGTACCTAAAAAGCGGTTGAAATAAAATTTAAAAACATTATTGATAAACAGCTTACACACACAGACACACACACAGACACACACACACACACATACACATATACACACTCTAACACATGTAAGTTAAACTGAGCAGCTCCTATTCAGGAAATTTGCTGTGCTTTAAATGCTATTCAGCCATTTAAAAAACAACACAAAACTAAGAAGGTACACATCCTGTAGGGATAATGGTTTTTTCCAATAACTACTATTAATAAACATGATAATTTTATAAAAAAGTGTATTTTATACATTTAAAATATGTTTATGGAAAAACACAAAAGGGATTATGAAGTGCATATATTCCTGTAGTAAATTAAGTCCTGGTCAGCTGATTATTTGAACATTATCTGATTTACATTCCTGTAGCCTTGTGGTTATATGAATAGGAAATTAATGTTGGAAGTAGTTTCAGCTGGGTTTTTGGTTAAACAACGGAGAAACCCACATATCTGCTTATATCCTAACTACTCTCCATACCGGAGAACTTCAAGCATTTGTTGACTTAGCTAGTGGATGAAACATTGAAACTTAAAAACCAAGAAACCAAATGTATTGTTGAGGTATTGTTTTTATACAAGTAAGTCTTTACAGGGATTACTATGAGAGTGGTAAGATTACTCTAGTTTTTTATTTATTTAAACATTTGACCAAGTGCTGGATACAGTGGCTCATGTCTGTAATACCAGCACTTTGGGAGATCAAGGTGGGAGTATCCACTTGATCACAGGAGTTAAACACCAGCCTGGGCAAAAAGTGAGACCCTGTCTCTACAAAAAGAATTTTTAAAAATAGCCCAGTTAAGTGGCATGAGCCTGCAGTTCTGACTTGAAAGGCTTAGGTGAATGGGTTACTTGAGCCTGGGAGGTTGAGTCTGCTGTGAGCTAGGATTGTGCCCCAGCACTTTAGCCTGGGTGACAGAGCAAGAACCTGTCTCAAGAAAAACAAAAACAAAACCTTTGGGCAGGACAGCTGAATAATCATGTGGCAGAGGGCTGCTCCCATCCTGTTCCCCTCTCAGTGCATTCAACTCATCCCCACAGTCTTGTGGTCAGGGGTGACAGATGCTGAACACCTTGGGGTTTCATTTCTAACTCAACTCAGGTGAAACACTGTATAAGGCTGGCACCCTACCAGAAGGCATCTCCTAAAATGAGTTTAGTTTAGCCAAGATGTCTCTCTCTGATCTTTCTACCACTGGAAGTGTAAAGAGTATTTCTGTCCCATAATAGTGACAGATAATAAATGGCATCTATCATTTCTGTCATCTGATCACTATTTTGGTGCCTTGGGAGTGAGCATGGAGTCTGAGTTGTGCAATGGAACCTCAAGAATGAGCCCCAAGTTCAGCTGTAGGAGTGCAGAGGAGGCTGTCACCTTTCTCCTCGTCCCAAACTTGTGCTGGATGCAGAATGGACTGCAAGCAGCTGTGCCCTGTTTGGACATTAGCATAGCAATCCATGTACATAGGCTGTATTTGTTTCAAAACAGAATTTGGAGCAATTTTAGTAGCTCAGTGTGATATTTTTAAATAGAGAAAAATTTTACTAACTGACAACAGCAACAACAACAAAAAACTGCCTATTAAATTCATATAGTAATCTTTAAAGAGTATCTACAAAACTGTAACCAAAATGTTGTCTTGCAAAATAAGCGGAAGTACAAAGACCCTTTCAAATGAAGAATCACTGAGAAACAAAATAGAAGTATAACATTTGCTTATGTACATTTTTGAAGATTATACAAGAATCAATTTGCATCAGGCTTTCCAATTTACGAACATTGATATGATTTCCCTCTGGGGAAGTTTTCACATAAATGTTGAAGAAATTCTTAAAACTGAAAACTTCTCCATATTTGGTGATTCGACTAGGGTTCCAATCCTATGTGCTTTCTTATTTTTATAAGGTGTATCTGCAGTGTGTGTTATCATGAGTCTTGGGCAAATATCACGTAAATGAAGGCATTTCTACATGCTATACATTCATAGGTTTTATTTCAGAAATGAGTTCTTATCTTCATGTGGAACTGTAACAGCTGAAGACCTTACCACATGTTTGTATTTATAAGGGGTTTAGTCCATTGAATCCTTTCATGTTTTCAAAGAAATGAAAAAGCTGAAGGCTTTACTGTGTTTCTTATGTTGTTTTTCTCCATATTACATTTGAATATGTCTTTGAAAGCACGTGGGAAAATCAAGTTTATTAACATGTTTTTTACATTCAAATTTCTTTTCCAGTATAAGTTATTTCTAAGTTTTCAAGGAGAGCTGGGAAAGTTGCATGCTTTCTTGTATTTCCTCAATCAATAGGGTTCTGTCCAGTGTGAGTTCTTTCATGCATTCTAATAAACTAGAGCACCTGATGGCTTTACCACATTTCTTGCCTGAGAATAATGTTTTTGAAGGTAGCCCAGTGAACTAACATTGTGCTGTGTTGGTTTTGTTGTGTTTCCCCTTCCCCAGGAATGAGTTGGAAAGGCACTTTGTGGAGCTAATTGATTTTAATATCAGCGTTCCTGGCAGCATTCATGGCAGATACTACTTCGATCTTCGTGCCTTGGCACACAAGCATGGCCTGTATTTGCCAGTTTACCTTCTTCAGAGAGAAAGAGCATGGAAACAGGGGGTAAGGCCACGAAGTTACTAAGTGGGTTTTCAGTCAAACACCAATGCCAACATCTGTGACTAGGTCGTATTGAGTAGTGATTAGAAAAATGGAAAGCTTCAAAAATAACTAACATACTGAAGAGCTTATTAACCTTTTGGCATTCTATTTCCTGTATCTTTTATGGTTTTTACAAGGATCCACGTTGTTTGAAAATTATAGATATTATCTCTTTTGTGATCATAATTCAGAATGTTTTAATAAAATTTACTTCTTTCTTAATGAATCTGAACCTTTGCCCTTGCAAATAATCATACATAAATGATTTCTTGCCATTGTATTTCTAATGATGTCAATATATGTAACGCACTCACCACTCCTATTTTTTACTGCTCAGTTTGCAAATTTCTGTCATTTTCTACTTTGTATTCCACAGTGCAGTCAGTCCCATGGGTTTGTTAGACCAGCACTTAGACTGTATGAGGTGTGCATGTCTCAAGTACTGGATGCAGGAAGTACATGGGATTTTACTGGAAATGATAACTTTTATGGGACAAAGTAGTATTTATGGTTTGTGACTTTTGGTAAGTACACAGCAAAATTACAGCTGAAAAGGATGAACCTTTAAAATAGGCATGTTCTATGGCACCTTGAAAGTATTTTAAAATAATACATTTTTCTAGCATAAGTAGTGCAAGTCAAGTAGTGCCTTTTGATGCTTTAGTTGTTAGACTTCGTTGACATTCCAATACAATCCAGCCCATGCCTGCCTCATTAAAATTTGCTTTGAGTATGTAGTAACTACTGTAGATTGGGTAGAATTTGAATAGATTAATAAACTAACTTTTTACAAAAGTGTGTGTTCATTATGTTTAAGGAACAAGTGCACAGGTAACAGGTACTGTTCTTAGAAGCAGGTCACAATATTGCGACATTTTTGAGATCCCAGTTTCTAAGTAACCTAATAAAACAAGCTCTCCTTTGCTCCAGCAATCTAAATCTAGCCCTGAAAGGAGATTACCTTAGTGAGCTGCCAGAAGTTGGCAGTGTAAACCTCAGCCAAAGTAGCTGTAGCTGAACTATCTAAAGGAGTCTGCATGTGTGGCTTCTCATATTTGACATTCTTAGGCTTTTTCAAGGATGGAACAAGACAAAGTCTTCTATACTACTGACAGAATTGGGTCTTTCAGTGTTGATGATTTAATTCGTCTTCAGCATGCTAGGGCCATCCTCTCCTGAAGGAAGAAATGAGGGGTAATGTAACATCTGAACCCCTCATCAAAAAAGACAGGAACATACCACTTCTCCTGCCAAAGAACTAGAAAACTTAGTATTTTCAAAAGAAGAAACACCTCAATTCAAGTGAACTCAAGGACAACTAAGATTGTACTTCCTAGTAAAGAATGGGACCTTGTCAGGGCAACAACACACTCTTACACTCTTCTGTCCCTTTTAATGTAAACTGTGTTTTAGAAACCACTCCAAAGTGAAGGCTCCTTCTGCCCACAGAAGAAAAGAAAAAGCAATGGGACTTCATGTCGATACCAACTGTATGTATAGTATGTACATTTTGGGGCTTTGTATCTACAGAATAGATATAATGTAGATGAGAGATTTAGTGACTTGATATGAGTTTGGTGCAGGTGCATTTGTCACTGAGCCAAATGAGGCTCATACTAAGTCAGTAGTTCAAATGCAGGCATTCAGTACTCTTTATGATGTCCATTGTATAGTACCTATCCCATGAAGTGGAGGCACTGTCCTGTTAAATCCAGAACTTACATATCTGAGCCAGTGGTATTTTATTTGTAGACAATTAACTTGAATCTTTACATTATTACCAGTAAGTGATTATAAATCTGCTTGACCCTTTATCTAAAAAGCTAAATCTTTGTGGCCTTAAGATTTTCTTTCTCCAACCCCAGTTTCTATTTCTTGGAGACACGCTGCTGGCAGCCAAATTGAATGCTTATATTTAGGGGAAAGACAGAAATAATTCTGACCATCTGTTTTTTTTCAGAATTGCAAAGGGAGAAAAACTCCTCAAAGACAATGAAAATTTATTCCCTAGCAAGATTGTGCAAGGCCCTGCAAAGTAAAATGCCCTCAGGCACACCCGGGGGCACAGTGCAGAGTCTCTCAAGAAGGTGGTTATTGAGTACTTCCCTGAGCAGAATAGGGGTGGGAGGATCCCTACAATAGGATGTCCTGACTTACACTAGAGTCAGGCGTATTATTCCAGCCAGGAGTGTGACTCTTGGGTGTGTCATCTTGAAAGGATTTATTTTCTTATTTCAACTTGCATTTTTAAGTATACAATGAATTTTATTGATAAAGCTTGGAAGATGGGAAAATATTATCAAAAAAACATAAAAATGTGACTATCAGAAAAAAATCTACTCATATATTTAATTTGTTAAAAATTCTTATTTTTAGGGCCAGGCGTGGTGGCTTATGCCTGTAATCCCAGCATTTCAGGAGGCTGAGGCGGGCGGATCACAGGGTCAGGAGATAGAGACCATCCTGGCTAATACAGTGAAACCCCGTCTTTACTAAATATACCAAAAAAAAAAAAAATTCTTAGTTTTATTTGTTCTTCTCCTAAAAATGTGTAATAAGTACCTGAGGTCAATATTTTTTGTGGATGATTTCAAGTAGAATCTCATTAGTTTCAGGAATATTACTGGGTGAGATTTTTCTTTGTAGCTACAGAGAAATAAATTCATTTCCACAAGAAATTGTGGTAGACAAATTAGTGATTTACGAAAAGAAAATTAGTTCCTCTTTTCTGTATGGTGGAGTATTTGTGGTAGTGGAAAAATCTATTCTGTATCCTGTTATCTGCATGTCTGAATTTAATGTTAAATTCTATGAGATAAAACTCAACATTCCTGGAAGTGTTGATATATGCTTACTTAATAATTAATTATTTGTCATTATGGAAATAATAGCTAAATGACATGTTTATTGTCTGATGGATATTTTGGCTTTTCTTGAAGTATAAAATTTAAGTACCTTACATTTTCCTTTACTCCTGTAAACATAAGCAGTGAGTTTGATCAATTTTGCTGGAACTCCGACACCTCCTGTGTTCAAGTGATTCTCCTGCCTGACCCTCCCGAGTAGCTGAGATTCCAGGCATGTGCCATCACACCCAGCTAATTTTGTATTTTTAGTAGAGATGAGGTTTCTCCATGTTGGTCAGGCTGGTCTTGAACTTCTGACCTCAGGTGATCTGCCGGCCTCAGCCTCCCAAAGTGCTGGGATTATAGATGTGAGCCACTATGCCCTGCCAAACACTGAGGTTTTCTTTTGTTTTGTTTTTAACTTAAAACCAAATGAATAACCTTGACTGGAAATCAGAGACCTGAGCCTGTAGACTGCAGCCTAAGGCCAAACTTGACCTGTCAAAGGAGTTCATGAATAAATAGCACAGTCATTTCTTCCTGGGGAGCTTCCCCTGCAGGTGTCCCAGCATGCTCACAGCCGCCATAGAAGGACCTTTATACTAAGGGGAGCTACAGAGCCCTGGAAAGCTGGAAATGAACAAGCAGACATGGTGAGAGTTGAGATGGGAGGCAGGTTGTGATGTCCTCTGTGAGGGTGTAATTCTTATTGTCCTGAGGCTGCTTCTAGATACTGCCAAATAAATTCAGATGTGGATAAGAAGTGACTTTATAAAGCACCAAGCATCAGATCTGCAAGCATCTCGCAAGAGGCAGAAAAGGGCTGTGTTTCATATGGAGGAGCAAACAAGATTAGAAGGAAGGTGGGAGGAAGAGAGGAGAATGGAGAATGGCAAAATCAGATTCAAGCTTAGGGAATGTTTCACCCCAAAGTCAGCCTGGTCTTAGGAGGAGCATAAAGTGGGTGTTGTATGTTGGCTCAGACTGAAGGCGGAGCAGAGTCGGGGAGGCTGGGGAAAGGAGAAAAATTTAAGCAAAGTGTATTTAACAAGTGTTTTGTTCTGAACACTGAAGATAAGATGATTAATTTATAAGGGAAAAATGAGAATTTAGAGAGTTTGTGGGTGATATCTAAAAGAGGAAGCATCATCTAAGTAATAATGAAAACAGTATTTATTTGCAGTAAGCTGTTCTTACAGAAACAAAGGATGGAGAGTTCTTAACCATGGCTGTTTACCAAGATTGACTAACCACCCCGTCTTTTCCTCCACTTTACTTTGTCCTATACATTTTTTTTTTCTATTTAGTTTTCCTGAGTTGTATCCTATATAAAACCTGGTAAGCATAGGTAAAATTTCTCTGCTCAGTTCTGTGAGAAGTTTTATCGAATTATTAAACTTGAGCAAGGGGGTTATGGAAGCCCATGATTTATGGACAGAAGTATAGGTGGAGTCGCTGGAACCCAGGAGGCAAAGGTTACAGTGAGCCAAGGTTGGACCAATGCGCTCCAGGGTGACAGAGTGAGACTGCATCTCAAAAATAAATATTTTAAATAAAATCTTTGAAATATGTTAAATAAAATCTTGTTTTAACCAATTGCTGTTTTTATTCATGTAATTTTGTTAATATAAAAGACCTACCCTAGAAAGAGTATTACGATTTTCTTCTTACTCATACCCAACTAAATTATACCACCCTGTTTTCTAAACAAAACAAAACAAAAAACAAAGTTCCTATTAACTAATCTTATTACAACTTACATAGATGCTTCACAACATGCTTAGACTTTCTGTTTTGCCTAAATATTTCTCTTTCTTGACCAACCCAGTCATTTTACTTTAGGACAAAAAATTTACCACATAAAATTTCTTCTTATGTAAAGTTGCTTTTTTTTCACCTTATCAAAAATTCCTCTTTATATCTTTAACTTTCTTTCTGTGTCTTATTTCCTGGTTCCTTTTACCTCATTTTATACATAACTTTTATAGAAGCTTTGAATTAGACAAAGATACTTACTTTTAAATAAGAACATTTAAAAAATGTTTTCCTGTATTTTTTATGTTGGAAATTACCCAGCTACTTAACATCTACAAATAGCCTTAAATCCCAAATCATATGACAGATCTGTTTACAACCATTTGTTCCATTACATTTACAAGATTATTTAATATTTTACCTAGGTTATTTATGAAAACTATGATATTATTAAATGTAAATTCCCTGTTAACCATTTTTATAGCTGTGAATTTCAGGTGTTTAAGTAATTTTCCTTTTTTTTTTTAAATGGAATTTTGCTCGTATTGCCCAGTCTGGAGTGCAGGGGCGTGATCTTGGCTCAGTGCATCCTCTGCCTCCTGGATTCAAGTGATTCTCCTGCCTCAGCCTCCCAAGTATCTGGGACTGGAGGCACCTGCCACCACGCCCAGCTAATGTTTTGTATTTTTAGGAGAAACACGGTTTCACCATGTTGGCCAGACTGGTCTAGAACTTTTTACCTCAGGTGATCCACCCACTTTGGCCTCTCAAAGTGTCGAAATTACAGGTGCGAGCCACTGTGCCCAGTCTATTTGAGTAATTTTCTTAAGGTTAAGTATAAAGGTATTTGTACCAATAACTCAGAATGCAGCTGTTTTCATTAAACCAAGTTATTCCATGTCTTATTTATCAAAAATTACACAAACAAAGATCATTCTGTCTTGGGCTGGGTTAAAGTTTTAAAACCCTTATGACAAATCTTACAGTTTTCTGCAAGAATAAGCATGAAATCACTTGCTCAACAAATGCAAACAAAAAATACTAAAAATTATTACAACATTTTTGATATTATTTTGCCAATAATTTGAAAGCCAGCTTATTTATAAAAGGTTTTTCTTAAGCCACATGAACTTGAAAAACCATTTGGCGAGGCTTCTTTTGTGGATATAATGGTTGATTTATGTAGTTGTATTTTTCTTTAAGCCAGTGAATTAGAGCTCTCTATAATAGAGAAACATTGTGTGCACAACACATAAATACACAAACCTATTAGCCATGCTGACAGAAGTATGTCTTACAGATTCCTAAGATCTCTTTTTTCCCTATCCTAGCCTTAAAAATTTTTTTTGTCTTTTTATTTAAATAGGTTTTTGGGGAACAGGTGGTGTTTAGGTTGCATGGGTAAGTTCTTTAGTGGTGATTTCTGAGATTTTGGGGCACCCATCACCTGAGCAAGGTACACTACCTGATGTGTGGCCTTTTATGCCTCACCCACCTCTTACCGTATTCCCCAAGTCCTCAAAATCCATTATACCATTCTTATGCCTTTGCGTCCTTATAGCTTAGTTCCCACTTATGAGTGAAAACATAAGATGTTTGCTTTTCTATTCCTCGGTTACTTCATTTAGAATAATGGTCTCGAGTTTCATCCATTGTATTGTTCCTTTTCCTGGGTGAGTAGTATCCAGAGCATCAATGAGGTCTAGGGAACTCCAAGACTACTGAGAGCAGGTGGGATAGAGACATGGGTGAGAGTGGATAGTTGCTATTCTCTAGGCCCTCCCTGCATCATGGTGCAAACTGCTTTGGTATCTATGGGTGGCACCTGCCAAGGTTGCTGGGACTCAGGGATACAAGGACGGAAAAGGGAAAGAGGACATCCTTCTCTCCCTCACATACCCAGGTATATCTGCTAGGAAGAGGAGGGAACCAGGTGTGCCTACTCCTCTGTTTCTGGATGGGTAGCCATCCATCTTCAGTTTGTACCCCTATCAAACGCATCCTGAACCCCTGGGACTCCTTTGAACAAAAAACCTTTTGGCCGAGTGCGATGGCTCACGCCTGTAATCCCAGCACTTTGGGAGGCCAAAGTGGGCAGATCATGAGGTCAGGAGCTCAAGACCAGCCTGACCACCATGGGGAAACCTGGTCTCTACTAAAAATACAAAAATACAAAAATTAGCCAGGTATGGTGTGGCCTGCCTGTAATCCTAGCTACTCAGGAGGCTGAGGGAGGAGAATCCCTTGAACCCAGGAGGCAGAGGTTGCAGTGAGCCGAGATTGTGCCATTGCTCTCCAGCCTATGAAAGAGTGAGTCTGTGTCAAAGAAAAAAAAGAAAAAAAATCCATCTTTTCCATTCTCCTCCTCTGTCCTCTCTTCACAGATAGGTAATTGTGTCTCCACATTATGGGACATTTTCCTCAGATGCATCCTCCAAACTGAGAAAAGTTAATTTCCCAAACCTTAAACTGGTTGGCTTAGGATTGGGCTCAGGGGAAGGGAACCCAGAGGCCCAACTAGCTGGCCAAAGGGTCAAGCTTTTTTACCAGTTGGGCTTTTGGCCTCCCTCTCCCTTCCAAACTGGTAAAAGGCCTTGGGACTTTTGAGCTGTCCTTATCCCTCCCCCTGTTTTGATTTATTTTGATTTGTTTTGTTTGAGACTGAGGTTATAGTCTTGTTGCCCAGGCTGGAGTGCAAAGCTGAAATGAAGGAAAAAATGTTAAGGGCAGCCAGAGAGAAAGGTCGAGTTACCCACAAAGGGAAGCCC